GCCTATAGATCAGGGAAGTGGGGGGGGGGAGACAGCCCATAGATCAGGTAAGTGAGGTATGGGGGGGAGACAGCCTATAGATCAGGTAAGTAAGGGATGGGGGAGGTAAAGTAAGAGAAGGAGCAGAAAGGAGAAGGAAGGAGCAGAAAGGAGAAGGAATAGAAATGAGCAGAAAGGGGCAGCAAGGATCTGGAAGGAGCAAAACAAGTGGTATATATATAATAGTGATAGAATGCTCTAAACAGCTGTGTGGTATCTCCTATACCAACACAAAAAATACATATAATACGAACACAATAGGTGGAGCAATATGTATACTTTGCTCTCTTATTCAATCGGTTGAACAATGCTGAAAAAACAGAGGGATACACAATAGTGCAGACCACACACAGAGGGATTTGGATCAGCCCAAAAAGATCCTAAGGTCATCCACACCAGAGCCAGGTTTTATATATGGCTCTACTCTTGTGAGTGCATTTCTGTATATGTAATATCTTTATATAATATTGTGACTTATTTGCACTATTGTGTATCCCTCTGTTTTTTCAGCATTGTTCAACCAATTGAATAAGAGAGGATAGTATACATATTGATCCACCTATTGTGTTTGTATTATAATGATCTGGAAGGGACAGCAAGGACCACAACAGGTAAAGTAGGAGAAGGCACATAAAGGAACACAAATGAGCCAGAAGGGGCAGCAAGGAGCAGGAAGGGTCTGAAAGGAGCAGGAAGGGTCTGCAAGGAGCATGAAGGGTCAACAAGGAGAAGGAAGGGTCTGCAAGGAACACGAAGGGTCAACAAGGAGAAGGAAGGGTCTGCAAGGAGCAGGAAGGGTCAGCAAGGAGCTGGAATGTAAAACAGCAGAAAGGTAAAGTAGAAGGAGTAGAAAGGGTCAGCAAGGAGCTGAAAATAGCAGCAAGGAGCAGGAAGGGATAGAAGGAGCACAATGGTGAAGCAGGCGAAGGAACAGAAATGAGCAGGAAGGGTCTGCAAGGAGAAGGAAGGGTCTGCAAGGGGCAGCAATGAGTAGGAAGGGTCTGCAAGGAGAAGGAAGGGTCTGCAAAGAGCAGAAAGGGGCAGAAGGAACACAAAGGTAAAGGAATCAGAAGGAGCACAGAGGTAAAGTAGAAAAAGGAGCAGAAAAGGGTAACAAGGAGCAGAAAGGGACAGCAAGGAGCACAAATGTAAAGTAGGAGAAGGAGCAGAAAGGGTCTGCAAGGAGCAGAAAGATCAGAGAGAGACAGGTGCAGGAGGAGGAGCACAATAAGCAGAAAGTAGCAGAAAGGTAAAGGAGCAGAAGGAGGAGAGAAGACAGTGTCAGAAGAAAAAGAAGACTGTGTCAAATGAAGGAGAAGAAAAGGAGATTGGAGCAGGAAGGACAAGTGAAGTGAACCCTCCACTTTATTCTGGACACCACATCATAAGGCTTTGGTACCTGGGCCTGGCAGGGAAACGTTGGACCTTCTCATTTACTGAGTGTCAGGAAGCACAGAGGGCCACTGGGGAGGGATGTCGCTGACTGGCTAGAGCGGTCAGCTGGCACTCTAAGCCAATCAGTAGCTCCCCATTCATAAAAAAGTAAAACATTTTTATGAACCAGGAATTAGCGATTGGCTTAGAGTGTCAACCGACCACTCTAGCCAATCTGTAGCACCCATGCCTGATGTCAATCTGCACTTTCTGACACTCTGTTTCAGAAGCCGAATACCACTGAGCGACCTGGAAATCTGGAGCTGGAGGAAGCCTTTGGGGTTAAACCATTTGAGAGAGGTTTAACTCCTTAAAGGAAAGAGAGCACCAAGGGGCTTCATGGCATCATAGCATTTTCATTTAGATGAAGTTGTTATGGTGACCAGAATGTTCCTTTAATTTGCTTAAAGGAACACTGTAGTGTCAAGAATACAAACATGTATTCCTGACACCATAGTTGTGAAAATGCTATTCACCCTGGCTTTATGTGATAATGACTATGCTCCTCCCCTTCATGACACTGTCAAAAAGGGACCAAGCATTGATGTCATTACAATTATGCCCCCCACTGGAAAAATTCCTGTGGACGCCCATGTATAGGAAAAAGTTATAACCAACGTTATCTACTTATTGGAGTGCCCCTGTGGCCTCCAATATATGGGTATGACCACCAGATGCCTAAAGATAAGACTAGCAGAACATTGTAGGAATATAAGAAATGGGTACCCAAATCATTCTGTATCCAAGCACTTTATTAACCATAATCAAGACCCAAAATTTCTCCAATGCTTAGGAATCCAAAAATGCCAAATACCTTGGAGAGGTGGAAATATAAAAAATATTCTTGGTAGATCAGAGATGGAATGGGTATTTAACTTACAGACCCTAACGCCCCAAGGTCTAAATGTAGATTTTGACTTATTTAATTTTTCATAATTTTAAAAAAATTTCTGTTTTGTTCTTTTATTCATAATACTTTTATTCATAATACTTTTCTCTGGATTTTACTCACTTGTCTTTTATTAAGTAGTTTTATTATACAGACCTATTAATTTAAGTTATTTGATTTTTACTTATTTATTTATTTACTTTTGTAAATTATCGATTTTGGGCTGTATTTATTTTATGTTCTTTCTGGATATTAAGGCAGATCTCTTACTGCTTTTTCTTATAATTTACCGGTACTGTTTATTCTATAGTCTTTTAATCATTGCTTTCTAACTAAATTTCTATTGTATTTTATGTATTATTTTATGGTATGTGTCCATAACTACAAATCCCATAATTCCCTCGGCTTCGGTCACGTGACCCGCGGGTATTGGTGCTATGTGACGTCGCGGGTCACGTGACATAGCCCGATCCCGCCTTGCCGTCCGTGCGTGCCGCCTCTCTCTGCACTGGCCGCACGGACTGCCTACAAATCAGCTTACTACGTGCGGTCACGTGGCCCAGGCACTACAGATTCCAAAGTGCATTGCGGGTCACGTGACGCACGCAAATTATTTATTTTAAGTTTACATAAATTTTATATCAAATAACCCTCGTTTTTATATTATATATATACAAACACCATTGTATGTTTTAATATATTACTGCTGTATATTATTTTTTATCATTTGATTGTGCATTTTTTATTTACACTTTGCACAGCCCTAATTGGTGATCATTTTTGGCGCCAATTTTGAATGTATGTATAAGTTATATATACTCCCTATGTGCCAGGTACTAATACTATTCTAATTTGATAAAGCCTCTACGGCGAAACGCGTTATTGGTTTTAAAATTCTATATTAATAAATTACTTTATATAGTTTATCCTTTTTACTATTTTATCTTCATTTATCGTTCCTGGCATATCCTAAGGTGGGGATTATACCACCCATGCGAATAATAGAGTGCAGAAAGGACTGCACTCTACCTGTGAGTATATTTTATTTATTTTTAATTCCTTTGCTAACTACCTCACCAGAGAGCACTATTGGCTGTTTTTTTCTTTTCCTGAGAGTTGGACACCAGCACTCTCCAGGAGGACAAGCACCCCCATAAGCGGAGGGTTATCCGCTGTATGCCCATCATACTAGAGCTGGTCCTAGCTCATGGAAATGTGAGTGCGCAATTTATATTTTAACTTCACTATCATGTATTTCTACAATCTGCATGACTGGTTCTTTCCCATTGTGTCTTTCATATCGTGAGACGGACGACTATTAACAAAGAAGACACCATACCAGTTCGGACAACATTTAATACTGGGACTCTTTTATATTATACTCAACAATTTTATACTGGGACTCTTTTATATTACATTTAACAATTTTATCTGTACAATATTTTGGCGCAGCCTTTTCTCTGTTTTTCTGTAGACGCCCATGTATAGTCTGGATTGAAATACAACATCAACTCAGTGAAATAGAATCAATATGCACACAGTTTATGTCAAAACAAAGATGATGGACAAACAGAACAAACAGATGAAGATGATTCTTTTAAATTTCTTGTAGACCTAATTTTCTCAAAGCCTAATTGGAAACCATGCATTGCAAAATAGTGCAAATTAAGATGCAAAAATATTTGGGTCATATCGTTCTAATTGTCTTTCCATTAAAATATAAACAAAAACACATAAATATATTTAACTTGGTCTGTGATCACAGAAAGCTATTACACTAGACTAGACTAATGATGACCAGGGTGCTATTGGCCATCTGGAATTGTTTATCATCTTGGTATTCTTCTAATGATTTGCTCAGATGCTCAGAAATTGGATATACAACACACATTCTGTGTTTGTAACAAATCTGTGCTTGTGTTAGCTTGCCGGCCACAAACAAGTTCTATGTGAGAACATACTCTACCTTGGCAAAGAAATTATCTGTGAAATGCACCAAAATAATATCAAAACTGTCTTATTAAAAATCTTTTGATCTATGGATTGCATGGAAAACAGGCAAAAATAGATTTTGCAAGATGAAAAAATATCAATCCCTATTTTATTTTCATGTGTTTTTCTTACTGTTATGGCATTGACTGTAAATGTTAGAATGTGATGTATTGGATTTCTTTATTATGACACTTTATTATGCCACTGTTTTGGGGGCATTTGTTTCATGGACATGAAAAAAATTCATGCACAATCTTTGGTGAACATGTATTGTGGCTATGCAACGTGTGTGTGTGTGTGCTGCCTCTCAGTGTGTATGGTGCAAACAACACTCTTTTTGTGTACAGATTTGTTGTAAAAAGTTCTTAATTTAAAGGACCACTCTAGGCACCCAGACCACTTCAGCTTAATGAAGTCGTCTGGGTGCCAGGTCCAGCTAGGATTAACCCATGTTTTTATAAACATAGCAGTTTCAGAGAAACTGCTATGTTTACAAATGGGTTAATCCTTCCTCCAATTCCTCTAGCGGCTGTCTCATTGACAGCCGCTAGAGGCGTTTGCGTGATTCTCACTGTGAAAATCACAGTGAGGGCACGCAAGCGTCCATAGGAAAGCATTGCAAATGCTTTCCTATGCGACCGGCTGAATTCGCGAGCAGCACTTGCCGCGCATGTGCATTCAGCCGAATGGGATGAACGGAGGAGGATCGGAGGAGGAGAGCTCCCTGCCCAGCGCTGGAAAAAGGTAAGTTTTTACCCCTTTCCTCTCCCCAGAGCCGGGCAGGAGGGGGTCCTTGATGGTGGGGGCACCCTCAGGGCACTATAGTGCCAGGAAAACAAGTATGTTTTCCTGGCACTATAGTGGTCCTTTAAGGTTCAGTTTTCATGCCTAGAGTAGTCTCCTATTAAGGGTTGCCTTTGTCTTGTTTTCTTTTCTTGTGCTAATTTGCATGCAGGTTCATGTTCAGTTTGCATTTACATTTCTAGCTTAATTTGTGTTTTCATTTTTGATCCCATGGGGACACTTCTGATAAAACTAGTGCTGCGTAATCTCTACTGAGAGTTCTAATCTTTCTTTCTGAGATAACTATAGTGGTCAATATTGTATAGCACACTAACACTCGAAAATAAAATGTACCCTAGACCAGTGTTCCCTAACCCAGTCCTCATGGATCACAACAGTCCAGGATTTATGTGTGTCCCTGTTTTATTCCAATGGAGATACTGACAAAACCTGGACTGTTGGTGATCCATGTGGACTTAATTGGGGAACACTGCCCTAGACCAGTGGCGGATGCAGGGGGGGGGCAACGGGGCAATTGCCCCCCCCCCGAGAAATCCGCTGGTCTCCCTCTCCCTCCCCTGCCAGCACATGCAGGTGCTAGCCCTGCAATGTGCCTGCGGACCAGAAGGGAGATCACAGATCTCCCTCCCCGGTCCGCAGGCACTGTGCTGGCGGCCGGCGGCGGAGGGAGGGAGTGAAAGGGAGGACCCGGAGCTCAGTCTGCAGCTCCTCCGGGTCCTCCTCTCGTGAGATTTGGAGCGTTGCCGCGGTTACCACGGCAACGCTCCAAATCTCGCGAGAGTGAACTCTAGCCCGGGAGCGTGGGCTAGAGTTCACTCTCCACACTGGACCACCAGGGAATCACCACTGGGACCACCAGGGATCGAAATATGTCCCCCCTCCTCGCCAGTAAAGGTAAGAAGGGAGGGGGGACATAGGATATTTATTTATTTTAATTAAATTTAAAAAAATATATATACAATAAAAAAAAAAGCCACACACACATACATTGCCCCCAATACTGCCCCCCCAATACACACAAACTGCCCCCCCATTCACACAAACTGCCCCCATACACACAAACTGCCCCCAATACACACAAACTGCCCCCATACACACAAACTGCCCCCTATACACACAAACTGCCCCGCCATACACACAACTGCCCCCCATTCACACAAACTGCCCCTATACACACACAAACTGCCCCATACACACAAACTGCCCCAATACACACAAACTGCCCCACATTCACACAAACTGCCCCTATAAACACAAACTGTCCTTCCCATTCACACAAACTGCCCCTATACACACAAACTGCCCCCATACACACATACTGCCCCCATACACACATACTGCCCCCCCATACACACACACTGCAACTGTTACACACACATACTGTCCCACACATACACTGCATCCCTGACATACACTGCCGCCCTCACTCACACACCACAACCTTCACACACACTCTGCACCCCTTACACATTGCACCACTCACACACACCACTGGTCCTATGCCCTACTACAGCCCCATTTCCCAGCAGATCTCAGGTAAGTTGTCAAACTGTTCTTAAACGGTTTGACTACTTACTGTGGGAGGGGGTCCCGGCACTATTGACACCATAACCACTACACTGAGCTGTAGTGGTTATTGTGTCTGGATTATTTCTTTAAATAATCTACAAGTGCCCCTCCCGAGATCAGGCTCTGGATCCGCCACTGCCCTAGACCGTGGATTTCAGAAACTGATGTTCCCTATAAACTTGTTTTTGAACTGTAAGGCATCCATTCCTGGGTTCCAGTGTTCAATTCCTGAGTTGCTATTAGCTTCATGCACCTTATCACTTATTCAAACCACTATGTTGTTAGGTTTCTTTTTTGCAGACCAATCTAAGAATTGTGTATACTTGTTACATGTAATGGAGCACAGCACTCAGCTTGAGTGTTTCCCTCTTTGAGCGCTGGATACCAGGGGTGGTTATAGCTGTTATAGCTGTCTCACCCAAACACTAGCCAAGACTCTGAGATGGGTAAATAAGAACTATCATTATTGGGAACAAGGCACACTTTTATACACATGACCCCATCATGGGGACCATGGTTAAGAATAACGAAAGTACCATCCTGGGATCTCTGAGTCTGCGAGATAAGTATATCAGTAACCACTAAGTTAGTTATCGACCAGACAAGAGGGCGCCATTACAATATATCCCCCAAAACACATAAAAATATAAATAACCCCCAAAAGTATTTGATCCCCCGATAGCTCTGAGGTCCGGTCACCGGCTGGGATTGGAGTGCATGCAGTGCCTGGTGTAGTGAAGGGGAAACCTCAAGGAGTGTGAGAACAACACTTAAGGGGGAAAAAATGACTCTTCATTGTGCAGTTCTGACACATTACAAAACTGTAAATTTTTGTAATCATATACCAATAGTATATGCTGTAAAACCTGCAAAAAACTAGGATAGGGATGGAGATGTCACGGAGTATAACTCTAACACGCAGAGTTTAGGAAAGCAAGGAACGGACTAAGGAAATATAAATGTCTTACCGGGCCTTAGAGTGGCCAGACTTAACGTTAGACAGAGTAAAGCGTAATCGAAATACAAGCCGAGGTCAGGGTAACGGAGAGACAGTGAAAACGAGAACTAGCCAGAGTCAGGTACACGGTAATAATCATAAGGGCAAATATGACAGGCAAGGGTTAAAGAGAAACTCAGAGTCAGGAAACAAAGCCAAGGTTAATACCAAAATGAAAACCTATATCACAAGGAACGCACTAAAGGGTACTGGGAACAGAAACCACAATAGGGCACAGAATCTAGGGCCAAGTAAGTTAAATACGTTTATGTTTAATTTGATTGGCCCATGTCATGCCTGCGTCCCAAAATATGTGTTAATGGGGGCACCGGAATGACGAGGACCAATGGGAGCTGACCCTTTAGAACGTGCAAGCAGCGTTCACAATACTGTGCGGGCTGCGCGCCCAAACAGGCTGTTCGCCGTGTGGCCTGCCAGGAGCCAGGAGTGTTCAAGTCGCATGCGGCTCGATCAGAGGACCCCTGCCGGTACATGGACCTGGTAAGTATCGTTACAGGAGAGTATGCAAGCAACAGCACTGCTCATTCACACAGAATTTTCCCATCATCTGTAATGACAGGTTCTTCATATTTATCTATTTCTAGCCTGCACCATCATCTGAAAGAGTAGACATTGTTTCGATACAAACTTTCATTACAATTTGAATTTGGTAATCGTACAAGCTGAAATGTAGCCAAATCATGAACCAAACGAATCACGCAATGGACAACCATGTTGATTTGATTATTTATCCAGAGTTCCACCTGTGGAGAAAAAAAAACAGATGATTAAAAAGGAAAAAAGTTGATTGACGGCTAATGGACAACCACTAAATGCTGATTTTATGCACAGATCAACTGAGCAACCAAGAGAGGGGGGAAAAGTGAGAGCAGTAAAAAAATTCTATACAATTTTTTTACAATAATGATGCTGCTGGAGGTGGCGTTACACCCCTGGCAGCAATATAAAGTATCTCTGTATGTACAGCATTTCATAAAGGTGCATATACAGACTCCAAGTACCACGATCACTTCATAACAATGAAGTGGTCACTGTACCCAGAGTAACCCTTTAATAAAGAATGAATACACAGTAACTTCATCAGAAGTATAAAGGAGTGGCCAAATCTTTCAAGCTCACAATTCTGAGATGTTTCTTGCAGTGTTTAACATTTTCATAGAGCTAAACCATGATTAAACAGGCGAGAAGCAACCTGGGTGGATATGTCCTGCTATCAGAGGAAAGGGAGGATATAAAACTAACTATGCTAGGCCCCAATTATATCATTATTATTATTATGATATTTATAGAGTGCCGTCAAATTCCGCAGCGCTTTACAATGGGTGGACGAACAGACATGTAGTTGTAACCAGACAAGTTGGACACACAAGAACAGAGGGGTTGAGGGCTCTGCTCAATGAGCTTACATGCTAGAGGGAGTGAGGTAAAATCACACAAAAGGTAAGGATAGTATTAGACTAGTGACAGTTGCAGAAAAGGAATCAGTCGGGAGCAATTGACAGTTTAATTTATACGCTTTTATGAAGAAGTGGGTTTTTAATGATTTTTTGAAGGAGTGGAGACTGGATGAGCATCTAACGGAGGAGGGAATCATCAACAATCCAGAGCCATTCTTTTTTTTCTACCAGTCTTGGACCCTTTTGCAGTTACCATTTACATAAGCTGGAAACTCCAGTAAATCACCTCACCACATGGTACATCTCTGATCTAATAGCCGACCGAAATCAGGTATAGGCTACTGAATTGTTTTACCTAGGGCAGGCATAGGCAACCTTCGGCACTGCAGATGGTTTGAACTACACCTCCCATGATGCTTTGCCAGCATGATGTGTGTAAGAGCATTATGGGGGATGTAGTCCACAACATCTGGGGTGTCGAAGGTTGCCTATCCCTGACCTAGGGTAAGACTTAACTAGCAAATTTTCATGAAAAAATATAATCATAAACATTTAAGAGATAATTAAAAATGGGTACTTAACGCAATTCGTAATTCTTTCCAGCATTGTCACTGTAACCTGTAATGTTTAACCTTTGTATTAAACCTCTTACTGACCTCTACGAGAGACAGATTTCCAAATATCCACTGACATGCCAATAAAATGCAGCTCTACAATGGAATATCAAAGCAGCACATATCTCACCATCTCCTGGGCACATAGAAAAGAATATAATAGGTACTCACTCCAATAAAAAAGGTTTGTGGGCAGCAGTAACCAATACAAGGATTCCCAACCTTGTAAACAAACAGTTCAGCCAAAAAAAGAAAGAGGAACCGCGCCCCAGATAGAATATACGTACATTAAAAATATTTTTCTTTGAACAATTCTGAAGAAGCCTGATCGGCGAAACGCATTAAGTGTGACTTTTTATAGCCAATTTGTTTTTTATTTATTTGTCATTAAAAATGTGAGTACCGTACTCTTTATTTTATTTCTCCTCATTTCTACTAAAATATACTGCACTTTTGGAGTTTCCCTTTATGTTTTTTATATTGCTGTATCACTGAAATATTGGAGACATCCGCTTCTACATAGATCCTTAGACGGAGATTGTTCCGTCCATATGAATTATGGTAGAGCTCCTGGTTAGCTCTACCAAATGTGAGTGTATACTGCTTTAATTTACTTCACCACCTGACTCAATGTTTTAACTATACTGCACCATTGTGTTTTTTTTTAATGTACGTATATTCTATTTGGGGCGCGGTTCCTCTTTCTTTTTTTGGCACAACCAAGAATAGGTTGTAACCACTCTCTTAAAACTTAATACTGAAGCCTACCCCTGAGAATCATTCATTCACCATGAAAATCTGGTTTGTATAGGCTCTATGTCCACAAAGAACCACCTGATCACTAAGCACTGGAACAGGGGTAAGCAACCTTTAACACTCCAGATGTTGTGGACTACATGTCCCATAATGATCTTACAGCTATAATGCTGGCAAAGCATCAGGGGAGATGTAGTCCACGACATCTGGAGTGCTAAAGGTTTCCTACCCCTGATCTGGAAACTCTACAAAACACTTGGTAAATGAATAGGATTTCCATGACAGAGGAAGATCTTTCAAAATAAGTCAAACAAACTGTCCCAGGTCACCCTACACTAGTGTTACATGTACCGACAGGACAATTTTAGAAGGAGCCAATATAAATATGGGGAGAAAAAAAATTAACCGAATTTCCGTTGTTTAATGGTGTATTTTGAGAGGCATTCCGTGAACATGTGAAAATAGTCTGCAAGAACTGCTGGGTCTAAGTCAGGTTTTTATTACATTTTCCTTTAGTTATGTACATGCTTTACAGCGGATTATTTGATAATTATCCTATTAAAGAACAGACAAATAATAGGTAAACATTTCTTTACAAATGACTCATACTGTTTTAATGCTTTAGTGTTTTCATGCCCTTTGATCTGTAATATGAGGTATAAACTCCTGCACTATATTATAAACAAACGTGTGTTTTTTTCACCAAAATTTGTGTTGCCAAAATATTAAGTCTACAATTCTACCATGAAAAGGTTTGAAGCTGTCCAAATTTATATGGCATTATGTTTTTTTAACTGGCAGTAATTTTCATGCCACAATACATAAGATAGGCTCTATGTACTTTTTAAGTTTACTGTAAAATCAATGCAAATGTTAAAATTGGCTACTTTGTGAAAACCTAAAAAAAACACAGTTTCAAAAGACAATTTCAAATAAAAACTTGCAAAAGAAAAAATCCTCCCCAATTGAACTTTAAAAGCTGTAAGATTGGCATTGTTAGGGTTCTGCAAAATCCACCTAAACCATATTTGAGGAGGCGGATAGAGCAAACACTTGTGCATGCCAACATGGATTCAACATGCACTGAACAAGAGAACTTTACATGAGTTTGGGCTACCATTCAACCGTGAAAGGCTTACACAGACAAATAAATACATACACACACATATTGCTACAAATAAAATGACTCAGCTGGCAACACCCTACTACTCACTTAAATATTTTCCACAGCACTTGATACAAATAAAATTAAATGAAAAGTAAAATAATGTCTTTTATGTGGAATTTTCAAAAGACGAAATGTCCTTTATATGTTTTATGTTGGTAACTATTGTGCCATCTGTCACTGCCAGCTTACTTCTTTTTACATGGCGGCACAAAAGGGCAAGCTGTTAACAGAGCAGAATGGAATAAACATGGCAAAGCTCTGGAACCCAATGTTTCCATTGCTAGTAAACCTATACATGTACAATTTTACAAAATTCTTCATTCAGTCATGTCTTTGAATATTTTGCTAGATATGAGGCTCCATCTGAAAATGGTGCCAGTGGACCTCAGTGGGTTCCTTGGCTAGTGTGGATAAATGTTTTAATTGCTTTCCAATTTTGATTATCATTTTACACCGAAAATATATTTATATACGACATTACTACAAATTATGTAGAAGAGAACTAGCCAGAGTCAGAGTCAGTTAGCCCAATCATTAAGGATTTATAATAGCAATAGAAATATACCAAAGTTTACTAGGTAGAAAATAGATCATATAATAGAATATACAAATAAACATAATTGTAAAAGATTCACATGGTAATCATTACTTAGTTTGAAGTTGGAAGTTCAACAGTAAAAGAAACCTATAGTACCAAAAATAACAATCGTTATTTCAGAATTATAGGTTCCCTTATAGCAAAATGATCACTGTCTCACCCTCTCTTTGCTCAGTATAATTTAAGTAAAATAATCATTACTTACACCGTTTCCATCTGCTGCAGCTTCCAGCTACTCCTCCACTGGTGTCAGCATCTGAGCTGACAACACTTGCAATCTGCTTCAATCCAATACTCCTCATACAGAAGGAGTATTGGATTGGAACTAGTCATGCATGGCGAAACACCTCGGTCTTCCAATTAAATGCTGCTTTCAGGGTTTCACTCGATTCAAAAGGAGGAAGTTCCTCTACTGGCTGTCAGGAAGACAGTTTTTAAAACATGTAACCAGGAGACGAAATTGTATGGGTGACTTTTTTGTCCTTTAAACAGATAAACAGTAAATAAAAATGAATGTGCAAGCAGCATGGAGACTTGCACTCATAATAAAACACGTTGACATTAAACAAACAGCATGGCTTTTTTCATCCTAGCTCATATATGCCCTATTTTCTAGGATTTTTATCTTTAAATAAGAAGATGGTTGATCTATTGTGCTGAATACCATCAAGGTACCAGATAGCCATCCGACAGTCTTAGTCAAAGTTAGAATATTACTTTCTTGAGGGGTAGATAGAACGTCCAGTCAATGATATCGCACATGGCACATCAATTGCAGCTCATGGAGGACAACGAAATGTACAAATCTTCATGAGCTTCCCAGTGACTTCTGGTGGTGGACCTAATAAATGACATGGTGGGTATGTGGGAATGCATTTATCAAAGCAACAACAGAGGCTTTTTGTGGGCTAAATTGCTAAATACAGTGCAATCACCAACCAGTGGAAGGTCTTCCAATATACCTATACTAGAACAAAACAATTCAGCTGCTGGCGAGGACAGAATGAAGGATCACTAAATGGAAAAAAGGAGTGCTGAACATTTTTATTTTATTTGTGTTGTTGAATT